GTTAAATTTAATGTCCTTTTAATATTTGATTGAATTAAATTTAACAACAGCATAAACAATTAAGACTGCAAATTCTTACTCGGTCAACTGCTTTCCCCACTTTCGACACACTGCCATGGATGTCTTTGTGCCTTGAGGCAAGCATCTGCACAGTTTCTTTGATTTCCTTGCAGCACTGGGCCATTGTTTGATGGAGCACTGACAAATCTGCATCTTGAACACCTAGAGTTGAAACAGTATGATGAAATATAGCAACTCATTGAACTTTGATCTAACAGACATATGCTACTGTGACTCAGCTCTGTAACAGAGTTATGCTTATATAACCATCTACAAAATCTAACGTGTGGGCTAGAGGTTATACAGCTAAATGCAGTTTTTCCTGTGTTTTTGTATGTTTGTTTGCACTGCAGGCTATTATTTATGCAGGCATCTAAAGTACACCTATTGTTCATGACTTAATGTCACTGAATTGGCTTTTTTCAAAGCCGTAAAAGCACTTGGTTGACTTCCTCCTCCTCCTCCTCTTTAGACTTGTTTTCATGTACAAGCACTGACATATGAATCGCTCTATCACACAAGTTGATAATTCACAACACTGAATTTTTTTTTTTAAATGCAAGATATGAACTAAAAATTCTGAGAAGAAAAGTCTGAAATGTGAGATATAAACTTACAATTCTGAGAAGGTTAGAATTGTGAGATATAAACTCAGAATTGATAGAAAAAAAGTCAAGAAATATGAGATAAAGTTGCAATTACCTTTTTTTTAATCCTATGGCAGAAACAAGATTTCATATTGCCCAGTGTCTCTATACTTATTCACATATTTTCTGCCATGTGAGTCATTCAGATGAATCACCATGCCTTCATTTCATCAGTTACCCATGGCTGTTTTATTGCCTAAGGTACAGATACCGAACTACTAGATGCTCATACTGTACCAAAGCCCAAATGTTGGTATCCAAGCGGATTCTAAGCTCACCATAGGCAACCAATCGACTCCTCAGCTCACAGACGTTCCTCAGGAGTTCATCCAGCCTTTCCTCTGACTGATGTCCATATGTGACAAACCTGTGTAGCACCTTCTCGAGCTCCCGTTCCACACACGCACACTGCTCCATCAGCACAGCGTTACAACTTACACACACACACACACAACGTCCTGCAAAACAGTAAAAAATAAAAATCAACCTCATATACAGATTAAAAACCTACTACATTATAACCCCTGCATAGATCATATGTTCTTTAGTTTGTCCATTCCAGGTATTAGTAGAAAAAAAATTTGTCAAACTGTGCGAACAGTGTGGTTTGGTCAATCATGACACACATTGAATTACAGCAGAATAGTACTTTAATTATGTTTTTATAAATGGCTAGTTTTTTTTTTTATCAAGCCCTTCAGAAGAGCTCATTTGTCAAATCAATTTATTACTGTCATATGTTTGAATCATATGAATCATATCTGAATGGTCTCCAAAGCTGACAACTTGTTTGTGTGACTGAGTGCTGATTAAATCAAGCCAATGGGTCAGTAAATGATTTCCAGGGATAACAAAATCTGACGAAAAATCTGAGCCAAAGTCTGACTCAAACATTGGCTCAAAAAACAAACAAGCAAAAACAACATAGAATCCAGTCTTACGGTTCCTAGATTTTAGACATACAACACCTATCAATATGTCATTTCGAAGTAAGCAGATCACTCAAAGAATATAATTCCAAGGATTTAGGTTTGAAGTCCTGTTGTCATAAAAATAAAGAGCCTAAAAAGACTGAAATGCTTTGTACCCAACTAACCTTAACTGGAATAAAATGTCACTCTAAAAAGCAATACTGTATAAACGCATAATTAATTAGTTATAAAGAACTCTGAATGAAAATAAACATGAATACACTCCTTTGAATTTAGTTTAAAACAAATATATAAAATCCTCTGCCAGGGCTATGCAGCCCAAACACAGCAAAACTATGAGCTTAAATATCTACAGCTATTATTCTCAATTTGTTTTAACTGTTTAAATAATACACTGCAATGACATTTTTGTCTAACTAAAGAAAACTGTAATAATCATTAAAATTGTGCGTTGAAATGAGAAACTGTTATGATCAAAACAATCAGTTAGCTTGTTAGCATAACCGGGAATGCATCTAGCCATAAGAACGAGTCTAAAACTCGCAAATTCAACATGTATTTTGACACTAACGATGCTATTAAAATCATGTCAGTCTAGTACCGACCTCGAACACATTTTAGAAGGTTATATCAAACGCGTAAATTAAATAATACATGATGTGCTTGCCTGTTTTGACACCGCTTCACCAGCAGACGTCCCTGAAACGATGCACTGACTGCTTGACGCATTGCTGCCACCTGCGGCTTGGAGGTGTAAATGGTTTTACCTCAATGGTAGGATCGACAAAGCACAAAAACTTTTTGATACGTAAGTAGCGTACAAATTATACATGGGCCAGTCTTAATGGTCTAAGTAAAAATAAGTAAAATAAAGTTGCAATTTTGAATGAGCAAACAGGTTAAATCAGTTATTTTCTTGTTTTGAGGGGAATAATATAGAAAGTAATACAAATGAAGGAACTTTCTTGACATTGACTAATAATTTTTCTATCATAGAGGCTGTCAAGAAAATGTTTCGGAATATACATAAGAGTTATGGGCCTTATAATATTTGTGGCCAATGCTATTTTAACATTGTTGCATATTGTTTACTCGCATCTTGTGAAAATGATTTTTTGCTGACTTTTCTTCCGCTTTTAATAATATCTTGCCATCTGTCCTGATCTGTAGATTTCTCACCTAGATGGAGGACTGATTTTGTGGTTGCAGGATTTCTTAAGTAACAGAGTTCAACAAGTGTGTGTGGGTAGTTCATTGTCTGATAAACAAATTACGAATGTTGCTTCTCCACAAGGCTGTGTCCTCTCACCCTTACAGCTCATTTTGTATACAAACAATTGTAGGAGTACTTGTTCAGGGAGATATTTAATTACATTTTCAGATGATACTGCATCGGTTAGTCTCCTCCAAGGTGATGAGGACAGTCATGGACCCTTTTAAACAAATGTATTACCTGGTGTGATGCATCAAATCTTAAGTAAATGTTTTAAAAACTAAAGAAATGTGTATTGATTTTAGGAAAGAATCCTCAGCGAGTGTGACCACTGTTAAAGGGGAGTATAAATACCTCGGGTTACCTAGACCATAAATTGAGGTGGGATAAATGGACTGAAGCTGTGAACAAAAGTCAAAGTCAAAGTCAAAGTTTATTTATAAAGCACGGCAGATGATCAGAGAAAATGGCATCACAAACTTCAATATTACCAATAGGCAAGCCATATGATAAAACCAAATCTAGTATGTGTCCACATTTATGTGTGGGACTAGCCACAAACCGAGTTAAGTTAAAAGACTCCAGAAGGGGTCAGCAAAGGCTATACTTTCTTAGGAAGATGGTGTCATAATGTAAGCCTTCCACATTAAAAGTATTTTATAATTCTTTTATTGAAAGTGTTTTGACCTTTTGTATCATGTGCTGATTTGGAAATGCTACGGTGGAACAAAACAGTTTGCTGATGAAAGTCTTAAAAATTTTGAGCAAATTGGCATCTCTATGATATGCCTAGAACAAATTGATCAAACTAGATGCCTTAGTAAAGCTATGAAAATTACATCTGATCATAAGCACCCGCTGTATGATGAGTTTGAGCTTTTGTCTTCAGGTCGAAGATATGGGATTCAGTGTTTCTTAAAAATAGGGGGGGGATACCTACCACAGGCATTTAAAGATAGTCTCTTTCGTATTTTTATTTAAATGAGCAGGTCTCAGGAATAAATTTAAGGAACTGTTCTTTCTTTCTTTTTTTGCTTTATATTGTGTTTTTGTAGCTATATTGTACTACTACTACTATATTGCAACGTATAACAGTTTTTTACAACTATAACATGCTGGTCTTCAATAACACGTCGTGTTAAAAACAAGGAAAATGTCTAAGAAAGATAGCATTTGTATACAAATATGTAATGCTCTCTTGATTGTGTAATTATTTGATCAAGGAAACATTAATTGTCAGCAATTATTGTTGTGCATTTTCTTTTTAAAAGCTCAGCATTTATGAAGTACTATATCTGGTTTGATCTACATACAACTTGTAAGGACAGTTGATTTAAAAAAAACAAGAAACTGCTGTCTATTGTAAAATGTTACTTATATTTATGCACAAGGTACAGTACAAAATCATGTGTCTCTAACATGGCAGAAAACCTTTTGCCCAAATGTCCTCAGGAAACGGTCATCTACATTTTGTCTTGTTCATGGTATCAAGGGGCCATAGCGATGAAACACAGCAGCAGATTTAACAAATACAAGAAACAACACTAAAAAATGCTTATGGTTAAATATAACCCAGCATTTTTTAGAGTGAAGGAACACAAGAACGAGTGAGAAAGATTATACAAAGACCATAAATACAAAGAGACAAAAAGTATGACTTTAAAAGTAATAGAGCTAAGAAAAGAAAGTACAAAGGTTGATGATGATGATGATGATAAAGAAAAAAAAGCTTTTTAAAAAAAAACATCCACATGATTAGGTTGCAAAGAGTCACAGAACCAGAAATAATGAGTGTAAGGCCTAAAGGCATTGAAAACATATTGTACAATATCAGTGATGGAAACCGATTCCAAACAGGTTCTGTGAATATGAACATTACTTCATTACATGAGGCAGTTTTTCAATCAGGAATTTTACCTGATGCACAATGATGTTGCAAACAATAGGTGCTTTCATAATGTCTGAGATTCAAGTGATGGTGAGAGAAATTTTAATATAGGATCATAAATCATAATGTTGCAAAATTAAACCATAATATGACTACTGGAAACAAAGATTGGCTCCAGTATTATAATATATTTGTAATGAAAATAAAAAATCATTTGGGGAAAGACCCGATTTTTTTGGTCTAAATATGCATTTTTAAGGGGTCATCTGCATCCCTTAAATATTAAATGCAAACATGATCACTTGAGTCAATGCAGCCACAATGAACTGCCATAAGTTTCATCAGGCAGATCTACAGAGTATGTTGAATGAACAGCGTGGAATCGATCAATGGCAAAAAGTTATGGGCATCATGAATATAAATGACGCTTTGAAATTTCTCCTGATCTCTGAAAGAGTGCAAAACATTCAGAGGCACCTTTTAAAGTTAACCTGCTCATAGACGCATAGAAAACATAACCCGCAGATTTGTAACACAACGTGGGGTGGGGGGAATTTCTCTGATATTCTGAATGGTTACTGCAATGAGGCATTGAGATTTTTTAATTGTATTCTGAGATGGTGGTTGAATTTAATTATCTAGGGAAAGTACAAAAAGGCCTTATGCAACATCCATCTTATCTAAGAAGTACAAACTCATCTTTCCTAAAAGCTCTCAAGACTCAAAGGCCACAAGCATGGAGAATAAAAGGTGATACAATCACTGCTCTAGACTTTACAAAACCTTAAAACTACTAAGTTTCTTTAGTCTTGACATAGAAGTGAAGTAAAATGACAGAAACACAAATGCAACAAAAAAGTGCATGTTTGAAATCAAGCAGGATGATGCTGGGAATGTCATACTTCCTTGTCCTTTTTGATAGTAGCACTCTTTTTTTTTTTTTATTCACAAATCAGCTGAAAAATATGTACTAGGACTCCTTTTATTCATTTTCATGTAACCACTCTGTGATACTAACAGACAGACCTGAAGAAATCATTTCAAGTACCGTGACCCGTGGAGCTTTAAGCTATTTTTGGCCTAATGATGTGGCTATGTCATTGCAATCACCCGGTGAAGGGACTGAACATTAGTTATCTGCTGCTTTGTTGAGTTCTCTTTCCTCTGTCAATGAAGTGTAATCAAAATCTATGCAGAGTTCGTAAGTAAGACAACTGTATGGTTTGTGGTGCCCCATTTTAACTCTCCGTGAGGTCATCTTTCGGTTTAGATCAGAGAATGTAAACACGTTGAGGAGGAAAATTAAAAAAAGCACAAAAGAGCACCAGACACTAATTATATACCAACAAAAGGACTGAAAAAAAAAATCAGTCCCACAGCACCAGGTCCAACCCTCTTTATGGACTTTTCAAAGAGGACTTGGGTTGAGAAGGCAAGCTGATACCGTCATCAACTTAAGAATGTTGCACATGTCCATCATTCTCAAAAATTGTTTTGCATTCAGCTGAGCACCGACCGTAAAAATGGCAGTTGACTTTCCCAACAGGTCACCTGGCTGTGCCCATCAGAGCGAGAGTTTTTGTGCGAGAGATAGAAGTCAAGCAAAAATGCAGGAGAGCTCACTTTTCTCCTTCGACAAACTCATCATATGATGATTCCTGGTCTTCCTCCTCCACTTCCCCTAAATCCTCAGTGTCTTCGAAGTCATCATCCACAAATTCATCTCCCCAGTCCTCGCCACGTTCCACCTTTTCTTCTTCCTCATCCTCGAATCCGATCCCTCCGTAGTCCATTTCTTCATCATCATCCACAACCTCAAGGCCTTCTTCTTCTCCTTCATCCCCGATCACCCCTTCCACCACCTCACCTTCATCACTCATATCTTCCTCCTTGATGTCCTTAGAAAGAGAAGAGGGTGGCAAAACCACGTTGTCCACCACCTCGTCTGCATACGGGTGTCTTTGGGCTTGGAACACGGGTCTGTTGGGGGCGGGAATGAAGAGCGGAGCAGCAGGCGGTAGGGCAGGCAGAGGTATTCTGCCTGACACTGACATATTGGGCAGAGGGGGTAGGATAGGTGTACCAGGCACGTACTCTCGAATTTCACCCGGTTCCAGAGGATCGGGGCCGCACGGGTCGTGTTCGCTGCAGGACAGCTTGCCGTCCAGTTTGGATATGAACAGCATTCCCTCGCGGTGCTGTTTGCAGTAGGAGTTGGGACACATCTCGCAGTAGGATGCTGCCTCCCTTCCGCACTCATTACACTGATGCCACGGACACTCCCAGCGGCCTGAAAAATGCATATAGTGCAGCTTCAGTTATGATTCAGCTTGGAGCTGACCAAATAGCCAATAATGGGAGAGTTATTCTATTATTTAACATAAAATTCATTTAAAGTGCTGAAAAAATAATAAAATATATTTATATACATCAAACTTCAGATAAAACTTGAAATTTCAAGTTTTATATTACCATTTAATGCTGCCTCTATAGACTGGTCAGAAATCAGGAAATTAAATGTGTTTATTGTCCTCTATTGATAGTTTTAACCATAAAGAAAAAAACAAATGTATAATACTTCCTGTCACAAACTAGTAATAGCAAGCAGCAAATCATGGTTTTGCCATAGTTATGGTGTCAGTAAGAAATTATTACTCATATTCAGCAACATCTTTGTTATAATTAATGTTACAAAAGATTCTATTTCAAATAAATGCTATTCAATTGAACTTTGTTGAACTTTCTATTTCCACAAAAATATTAAGCAGAACAATAGTGATAATACATAGAAATGTTTCATGTGCAGCAAATCAGCATATTAGAATGATTTGACACTGAAGACTGGAGTAATGACTACTGAAAATTCAACTTATCCATCACAGGAATAAATAAAACTTTATATTAAAAGGAAAAAAAGATTTAAAATGGTTTTATTTTGTTACAATACTATACAATATATTACTGTTTTTACTATATTTCTGGTCAAATAATTGCAACCTTAGCATAACAGACTTCTTTCAAAACGTTAAAAATTTCTCCTACACGTTTAAACAGAGTAAAACTAAAGGCTTTCACTTTTTTTTTTTTTTTTTTTTTAAAAGACCAGCTCAACTTCCTGTTTCAATTCAAAATACATAAACACAAAAGAAAAAAAAAGCTCACCATGATAGAAATACTTCATAATCAAACTTCAGAGTGATGCTCAAAAACCTTAAAGGGTTAGTTCACCCAAAAATGAAAATTCTGTCATTAATTACTCCCTCCCATGTCATTCCAAACCCATAAGACCTTCGTTCATCTTCGGAACACAAATATTTTTGATGAAATCCGAGAGCTTTCTGACCCTGCATAGACAGCAACGCAATTATGGCCCAGAAAGGTAGTAAGGACATCGTCAAAATAGTCCATGTGACATCAGTGGTTCAACCGTAATGTTATTAAGCTACGAGTTATGTGTGCAAAGAAAACAAAAATGACAACTTTATTCAACAATTTCTTCTCTTCCGTGTCAGTCGACGTGCGTTTACAAGAGTACCACGACGCATGCGTGTGGTGCTGCTGACGCAAGACCCACCGATCTGATGCGCTGCGCCTTGTTTACAAGCAGAAAAAGATGCACGCTGTACATAAAACAGTCTTTGTAAACAAATGTCTGAAGGTTTTGACAGAGTGGATGACTTGCAGTTTTTTTGCCCAGCCTTATTTATTTGAACCAGAATATACAGATGAACTAGTGGCGTTTAGTATCGCTTTAGAGTGGGAGGGATTATTCACATGTCGTTATAGTTGTGTCGCCTCTACTGCCGCGACTCCTGAAAAACTTTTTCATTAAGCGTCGCCCCATCAAGCTCACCCTGGATCCGCTCCTCTGCTATCAACGAGAGGAACGTCTGTACTTCCTCAACAGACAACGAAACAGCCACTTTTTGGTTGTTAAAAAAAGGTGCGCTCGTTCAAAACAGTTGCGTTCGATCCTTCGCTGGCTGTGCTGATTTAAATCTAGAGGTTCTGTTGTGTTTGTGTCTCAAGTTCAGTGACGCAGCTAGTGACGATTCTCTCCGGCCAATCCGTGATCTGCAGTTTACGCGTCACGTTTTGGTAACGGTACGGTTCACTTGGAACCGCAACTGAGGTGTTACTAAAAAAAGTACCAGGTACCAGGTACTGTACCCAGTGGAAAACCCCCCCAAAAGTGAACCGTACCGAGCCGTACCATGCAGTGGAAAAGCGGCAAAAGAGAGATGGACGTTCTACGTCAGAACGCCGGCTCCTGCATCAGCATCATCACACGCATGCGTCGTGGTACTCACGCACGCACGTCGAAGACTGACATGGAAGAGAAGAAATTGTTGAATAATGTCATTGTTTTTGTTTTCTTTGTGCACAAAAAGTATTCTCGCAGCTTCATAAAATTACGGTTGAACCACTGATGTCACATGGACTATTTAAACAATGTCCTTCTACCTTTCTGGGCCTTGAATGTGTCAGTTGCGTTGCGGTCTATGCAGGGTAAGAAAGCTGTCGGATTTCATCAAAAATATCTTCATTTGTGCTCCCAAGATGAATGAAGGTCTTACAGGTTTGGAACGACATGAGGGTGAGTAATTAGTGACAGATTTTTCATTTTTGGGTGAGCTATCCCTTTAAGACAATGAAACTTGTTAAAACAAATTAGATACAAGAGACTCGTGTTCTTGAGTCATTCACCTGCAGGTCTCTTGGACAGATTCAGACAGTCGGCATGATAGACCTTGGGGCAGCCGAGCTTCTTACAAGACACAATCGGCCCTCCATCACCACAGTAGAAACATTCATCCTCCCGCTCCTTGGTGACCTCTAACTGGCTCTTACGCTTCACCGCAACCTTCTTCTTCAGTTTCCGCACCTTGTCTTCAGATGAGGGCTGATTCTGAAGAGAAAGTGTGATCACACCGAGTATGACGGAATATGAATAATGACATATACCAACTTTAACCCTGAATATAATACACAAAGCATGCCATACCTTTGGTCTGACACCAAGGAATCCGCTGCAGTTGGGCGCTCCACATTTACACACCGTCTTCCCATTACCAAGACACTCCAAGTTATAGTTAAAAGTGAGTTCAACACCTGAGAACAGCCAACAAATCTATTAAACAAACATTCACCCACTTTCTAGCACCATATTACCTGGTTCAGATTCAAACTCACCTGTAGGAATGTCCTCTAATGCAAAAAGCCCGACTCTGGTGTCTCCATTCACCGTCCACTTCTGTGTCTCACAGTTCGGCTGGCAGCTGTGGTTCATAAAACGCGACTGGTTTCCCTTCGGCCCTGCATCTATTATCCGATCCTGCACATACACAGAAAACAGAGCCCAGTGTCAAGATAAGTGGGGAACATCAGGATAATCAGGATTGAGAATCACCCCAGGTGACTGACCTTATCCAGTGTGAGCATGTAGAAGTTACAGATGTTGTTTTCCTGTGCGTGTTTGATCCTGGCTCGACACTCCTCTTCGTCAATGACCTCTCCAACATACTCATTCACAAAAGCTCCCTATGGTGGAGTAACGTAATGTAATTAAATGGGGAAGAGAGACATAATAATCTGTGTGTGTGTGTGTGTGTGTGTGTAAAAATAGGCCACCTTCTTGATGTCAGACACACTGCGTAAACCCCAACCACGCAACAGCGTCCTGAAGATCTCCACCTCAGTGTACTGGCGTTTGGTGAAGCATTGGTTCTGACAGCGTTCCTCTACTGGACACACTTGAGGATGACACTCGTACATTAGCATGCGGTTGATGCACTCCGAGTCAATGCCACACGGGTTCTCGTCTGAGACTTTGCAGTTGCAGCGTGGGATCTCAGACAGATCTGCTGTGATGATTTGCACCTTCCCTATCGGTCTGTTCACCTGAGTGAAAATCGATCAGTGTGCATGAGAGATAACAACATGAGATCAGTGTCACAATCTGAGCATTTGTTATTTTACCTTTACGTGTTTGTATGGCGGAGGTTTCTTGTCATTCTTCCTGTCTTCTTGAAGCTGTCTCATCTCCTTCTCCGCCTGCAGTTCCCTGAATCTTTCGGCTGCTTCATTTAAAGCTGAGAAAAAGAAAAATGGTTCTTTAAACCGGTTTACTCTTAACATTGAAAGAATCCACACTGTAAATGCTAATCAATAGTTGCTACAACTGGCAGGCTTGAAGTGGTATCATAAAAGCCTACATCAATTAAAACCTCACATTTCTATAGCGACAAACTTTTATAAAAAACATTTTGTTTTCATTGTCATAATCACTCATAATGTGATAACGTGTCAAGATAACAGAAGATTAATCAGATTTCCTCCATGTTACAGAAGTCCATCTCAAGTTTCTCCAAACCAGCTTCAAAACGTCATATATTTATGTGTCCAAAATCCCAGTCCACATAGCCATATTTTAGATAGCAAACATGTTTTGAAGCACAGTGTGAACAGATAAATCGCTTGTTAGTATAGCACCTAATTAGTTAATTGTGTTTGATTGTGTTGACTATTTTAGAATTCTGCTATTGCATAAAACTACCTTTCTTATAGATGGCATCTGCACCCTTTCCCATTTTTTCTTTATTGTTGGCATCCCCTTCCATGTAGGGAAAACAGCGAGCTTGATATGTCCACACGTAGTCTTTGGAGCCAAAGAAGTGCACAGGAAACTCCCCCACCTCATGCCTCAAGCGGCAGATGTTCTCAGGAACGTTTTTTGGTTGAGTCACTTCAGCGGGCCACCACCTGGAACAAAAGGTCAGAAATACATCAGTGAACACTGCACTGTAATTTTCAGGGGAAAATGGTATTGGTGAAACAACACACAAACCTGTAGCGGCCCACTTTGACCCACAGAATGTCCTTGTAGTGGGGTTTCTTTCCCGCTCGACAGTCGTTACAGAACCAGCTTCCCTGGGGCATGTCAATGTTCAGACACTCACGGTGAAAGGCAGCAGGGCAAGATTCACAGCAAAGCAGACTTCCTCCTACAGGGAGAGACAGAAAACAAATGTAATTGTAATAAACAACCGTAGTAAAATTTTGCTCTGTCCTCATGACTCACTATAACACAAATTTGATTTTTATATTTTCTGAAGAACATGCGAAAGTTACTTGCTTGGGGTGTGAATTTTTTGAGAAATCAATTTAACTGACGATTCATAGATGAGGAATGATTTTTGCAAATGTAGAATTTCAATTAACAATGGGATTCAATTCGATTCCGATTAATGATTTGATTCTGTATTTTCTCTTTTAGAAAATAGTGGCAAGGTTTTCATGCAATTAAAGCATTTTATTTCAGTAGGAGTGGTAATAGTAGTGCCAACCAATGCGTTGGCAGACTTATCAACGATTTGTGCATGTTTGACTCAAAACTATTTCGCTGTCATCTGCACCTGCGGAGAGATCAAACATGAATTGCTCGGAAAGCTGCTCAGAAAACGTTTCACACGTTGCAAACGTAACAAACATAATGTGTTTTTCGAACAACCTAGTATGAGAGCCTGTTCTAGTACACCCCCAAAACAAAATCAAGACTTTGTAAAAGAGCATAATAGGACCCCTTTTAAGGACAGAACGGACAGTGAGCACGATCCAGTAAAAGGTGATAAAGAGTGCAGTGCACTGTCTCCAAAAATTCACGAAATCATGAATCATTCCATTTTAAATTGATTCTTGACCGATACAAACAATTCTCACTTCAAAAATCCATGTTTCAGCGCATCAGCTTCAGCAGGATTTGTACTTGATGCATTGAGAAAATGAGTGAATCGTTACACCCCTAGTGCTTGCTAATGCAAAACTTGCTGCCATGATGCTGGATGTTGTAGGGTCTGTTTTTATTACTCACCAGGCAAAAACTAAGCAAGTCTGCTTGCTTAGAAAATAATAGCCTTAGCAAGCACCACTAATAATTTTAACAGAGGGAACCACGAGGACTGGACTACACACCTTCAGAACACACAAAACACCAGCTGACGTTAATATGTTCATGGTTTTTGCACCCTTTGCGTGGAGTGAAGTGGTTGGGGCACAGGAAGCTGTTATTGGCCAATGGGACACTGCCGGCAGCCATACAGTAGTCATTGGCGTGGTAGGCCACAGGGCAGCGGACGCAGCGCGTCAAACGGCCTGTGAGATCGACAAGTTATGATCAATGACACAAAATCATGCTTTTGTTATACGTTGAATATTTTTTAAATAATATTTTCAAATGTAACATCTGAATTACAGTCACCTTTGGAAATACCAGGGTTGGCGGGGTTGGTGATGTAGCAGGCCAGACAGACATGGAGGGAGCAGCGGAAGCCGCGGTTCTGAGCGACGGTGGGGGAATATTTCAGTATGCATTCCATGTGATAAAACTTCCCACACACAGGGATCATACACCTCCTGACCTCCTTATCAGGAGTTTTACACACAAAACATGTGTGCACACCTACAGCAAGGAAGAACAGGAAAGACATACAAAGAAATGAAGGTGTTCACCTGTATATCTTGGACTGCAACTGGATTTTTGAGTGCATCACAATATCCTAACTGGAGTATATATATGCTTAGAATCATAATTAAGAACAAAATTAACAAACATAACTGCTAAAATGAAATGAGTTCTTATTTACTCAAAATTCACTAGAATATTCTAAAAACAGAAAACAATTCTAATCATTGGCAATGCTGTCAGTAGATTTTCGAAACATACACAAAGAAGAATATATTCGATAATTGGTTAAGAGGACTGTTTATCAACCAATCCTGACCATTTCAAAATGGCCAAATATGGGCCAATTAACCAGCCTGGCTGATATATTGCTTATTGTTGGTTACTCACCCATCTTACACTCTTGGCAGATAAAGCGGCCTTTAGGGGTCTCAGTGAGGCCGATGCACTGCAAATGGAAGGCACCACAGCACTGCCCCTCACAGAGGAGCAGTTCACCCGTTTTCTCACATACCTACAACACATAGTCCCAAAACAGTTTTATGCTGAATGCTAAGATAATTTTTAGGACAAACACTACCATTCAAAAATGTTTGCGGTTTTTAATGTTTTTGAAAGACGTCACTTTCAAAGCTCACAAGGCTGCATTTATTTGATCAAAACAGTAAAACAGTAATATTTTGAAATATTATTACTTTTTAAAATAACTATTTTCTGATTCAATACATTTTAAAATGTAATTGATTCCTGTGATGACAAAGCTGAATTTTCAGGATCATTACTCCAGTCTTCAGTGTCACATGATCCTTCAGAAATCATTCTAATATGCTGACTTGCTGCTCAAGACAGATTTCTTATTATTATGACAGTTGAAAACAGTTTTGCTGCTAGGGGAAACCACAACACAGTGTCTTTTTTAAGGATTCTTTTATGAACAAAGGTAGAAAACAACATTTATTTTAAACATTCTAAATTGTCTTTACTACCTTTTCTGATAATTTTAATCCATCTATACTAAATAAGTACCCATTTAAAATAAATACATAAATAAAAATCTCAGTGAAGGCAAATGTTTAAACTGTATCGTTTATCAATATATAACCAATCAAATAAATAAAGTTCATAAAGTAAACCTATATCTGAAGGTGAAATTATATTGTCTAAATCTAATATTATTATTTTTGCATCCAGCATTTGGTATACATACATACATACATACATACACACACACACACACAAACCAATATATACACACCAAATGCTGGATGCAAAAATAATAATAATAATAATAATAATAATAATAATATTATATATACACATACACACACACAGGATTTTTACCTGGCAAACATTCTCCTTCAATGACGCACCTCCACCTTTCTCCCCTGATTTTCTATTGGTCGAGAATCCTGTTAAATCACCTGATAAAGAATCTCTGCTTGAAAAAGCACTGTCATTGAGTCCTGCACCAAAAACCTGAAAATTAAACACAAAAAACTGTTATATAACTCTATAAATAGAGATATATCTCAGCATGATTAATCAATGAATCAAAACACAGAAGAAGATATATCATAAGGTTTGAATCACGAGGGTGAGTGAGTGATGACATCATATTTATTATAGGTTGATGAAAAATGTGCAGCTAATAATAATGACCTCAGAGGTCAGGGAGTCCTCGTCATTTGTGTGTGACTCCTTTGCCTGAGGCTTTGACGGGCTGCTCTGCTCTCCTTCAAGCTGGATCTGGCAGACACTGGCTGTGTCCTGCTGGATTGGGGATGATGTTCTTATTTCATCCTCACTTTGAGCTGCTGCTAAGGATGACAGAAATAAACATGATTGTAAATTTCTGGAAAATAGAACGGTGGATCAATCAAAAATATTCTCAATAAAATACAACAAATAGATGACAGAATATAATGATAAGAGTCGCACATGAGAAAACAAACCTGATGCAGCACACGGGCTTGATGGTGTAGGTCCAGGCTCTTCCTGTTTCTGTTAAAAAAAAATACAAATTATATATATATATATATATTTGTGTTATACTGTATGTTATTTGATGTTCATAAAAACATCAAAAAGTTATTAATTAATAGTAAAGAAATGTAAAATAATGCTTTATTGTAAACAGAACTGATAGACATTTATGCTTTTTTTTGTATTTGTAAACATTTTAGGAATGCTCACTATTAATGCAGCTAATGTCTAATAAAGGTAGGTTATTGCCTTTATTTTAGTATTTTCTGTGACCTAATCTAAAGTAAGAACTATTTACTTCTAATAAGCCATTAACAACTCCTTTACTACGGATTTAAATACTGTACATGAGTTAGGTATTGTTAACAAGTTGTTAACAAAGGATAATAAAACATTTCTTTACATATGAGCTAATTAAGCGATAATAATTTAACTACATGACAATAAATGAAGAACGCACTATTTGTACATAACCTATTAATGTATTAATGTACATAATACAGTTTATAAACTATGAAATTAACTATAAACTAATAGTTTGTGAATTATTTTTAAGTTACTGTATACTTATTATAAAGTATTACAAATGTATTAAAATTACTATATACATTACTAAAAAATACATTCCACAAAGCACACCCCAAAACATTACCTGAATATCTTTGACATCTGATTCATCTGGGCTGATAACTTGTTTACTCTCCTGATTTAACAGAGGTAAAAAGAAAAACAACAACAACAAGAGTAAAAACAAATACAGAAGACCCCAAAACATTTAATAATTTTTCAGAAATCATATAGACACCACAAATTTAACACTAACCTCTTTTTTTGGGATCTTTACAGAATCCCCCTCAACGGTGCAGTCTAGAATTTTAAGCACAGTCTTACGTGGTCTCTTTCTATCTGAGGGTGCTGCAACAGCAATATAAAATATGTTTATACCTACAGCTGACATTTACAAGTGAAGTTAAGTGTCTTAAACTACACATTCTTACCAGATTTCTTCTTACATGACTCTCTGTTTAGTGATTGGCCTTCACAGGATGGCGATAACAGTGTTGAAGGTGATACAAGATTATCTGCTGGTTCTTTCTGCTCCTCTGGTGTGGCCTGCTCAGAGGGTTTTTCAGGTGAAGAGCTTAAAGCATCAGGTGTGATCTGCTCAGGTGCTGGCTGGTCAACGTTAGTGTTGGCGATCCAAGATCCCTTCAGGAAAGGCATGAAATAACATTATTCACATACAGCAATACAGTTTGCACATTCGGATTACCTTTTACCTATAGTTTGTTCGGAATACCTAATCCAAGACTGAATTATGACATAATTTTAGTACTTTCTGTATGTAAAGTTGCACCCTTAAGTTATAGCCGATGCTCTCAAATCTCATTTGCGTATATTCAAATTTGGCACCTCGTGTTGCATGTTGTGCCACAAGTCAATGTCAATGACACCAAACATCATTGGCTCTTGCATGCATTTAAATATTTTGAATTGAATGCATGCATGAATGAACTACGAATTATATAGATCTTTTTGTGGCCTGATAACTATAGTATCCACTTTTGTCGTATGGAGAAGAGCAAAATATTATAACATCTAAAATCTGCTTTTATGTCCATGGAAGAAAGTCAAATAGGTTTTAAATGACATGGGAGTGAGTATAATGACAGAATGTTCATTTATGGGTGAGTTACTGAAAAAAAAATTCAATACTAAAAAAAAAGATAAATTTCTGAAGTCCACTGGGTCAACAGAAACAATGTAAAGAGTTGCAAAATTGGCTTACCGTTTTACAGGACTCGGGAGTTTTCTTTGATTTCTTCTTTGTGGAAAATATTTGCTCATATTCTTCACTGCATTCAATCAGTCTCTTGCTTGGTTTTCTGAGCCTTTTGTTTTCTGAGAACAGAATAATTCAAAATTCACTGAATTTAGCCCAAAACATTGATAAGGTTTTTAACTTTTGAGACTTAATCTAATATGTCCTGAAGATACCTGAAGCATCTTTTTTATCAGGGATGTCAGAATGAGCCGCTTCTTCAAGACTGTCTTTGAAAACTCCATTTAGATCTGTGGACTCCTTCACTACATCTTGATTCAAACCAACCGGATCGCTCTTTGGCTTGGTGCTTTTCCCAATGCCAGACTCAAATGTTTGCCACCGCTTTTTAGGAGCAACCTTGGAGATGGTGCCCTTGCCACAGACATCAGGAACAGCATCATGGTGAGAGTTGGAAAGTTCCCCTAGCAGAGGCAAACTCTTTTCAAGTGCATCCAAACCTACTGATGAGTTCTGCTTTTTCAGTGGAGAAACTAAATTGTTCCCACCATCGTGTTTTTGCATCTCCTTTTTCATTGATGATTTCGGCTTGGCCTTGCCCTGTTTTGGCGTTGACGTCTTCCCCTGCCGACTGTTCTGATCCGCAATTGCCTTCCAGTCCTTTTCATAAAGCACCTCATTTGTTGCTTCTTCTCCAGGTGGGATAGAAGAAGGTTCTTCCCTGATGAGAGAGGATGGAGATGTGGGAGGGAGGGTTAAAGGTTTCCCTTCCTTCTCCCGGCTGTCGTGCAGATCCTTCAGGAGCATTAGGAAAGTGCTGAATTTGTAGTTTGAATCCGCAAGGAGCGAAGTTTCTCCTGAGCTGCATTCGTCTTTGACAAGAGACCTGAAAGAAAGCTCCTTCATATCCTGGAAAGCATCCATAGGAGAGATCGAGGGAGACGTGATGGATGAAGACGAAGTGTCTGAGATCATGCTCTCGTTTTTGATTTTAACGGAATTGAGGGAGGATTCATTCACATCTGACTTGGAACCTTTATGTCGAGGTCCATTATGAATGCCATTTTTCTCATTTCGGATTCTGGTAAACTTAATAAGAGTTGGGTTTAGGGGTGTGTGGGAGTTAGAGTCATCCGTGGACTCTTCACTGGCCTCTGTTTTTACCTGCCATTGATGTTTTGACAACTCAGAATGGTCGGTGGGGGATGAGCACTTGTTGTAAAAAAAGTTTTCATCACCAGCACATGGTGAACGAGATTCTGGCTCCTGACTTAAATCTTTCTCCTTGGTCTTTCTCCTGGCGGCAAGTGCTCTTGAGATTAAGCCATTGCTGGCAGGAAAATAATGAGAGTGCATGGCAAAAGACCCATCTGAGGACCCTGGGGAACTGCTTTCCTTCTGTCTGGAGTTCGTAGCCCTAAGTGTTTTTTCTTTGGGCGTTGACTTCTTTAGCTTACTGTTTGTTGTGCATTTTGAACCAGCCTCTGTTTTCTTCACCGGCTTGTCCACGTTGGCTTTTTTCGTCTTTTTACTTGGCTGTACTTTCTTAGGTTTAGTGCTCAATTCTTTCGCCACCGCCTCCTGCGGCAATTCCTCTGAACGTTTGGGGCAAAGAATCCTCGGGACAGAGTCAATATCTGAATATGGACTATCTAGGGGGTCTGGTTTGTGCCGTTCAGCGGCTGTGGAAGGTTTGTAGCTGTCTGATGAAGGGTTTGATGATGATTTAGATGATAAAGAGTTTTCAGTTAGTTTCACAGGAGATTTCACAGTTGAGCTGTTCTTCTTAGTTGCCTTCTTTTTGCTTCCAGTGCCAGGTTTTCCTTTATTTTTAATGGATGCATCTAGTCCATTGGACAAAAGTGAGCTTGATGATGTGGACTGTGTAGTAGATGTCGGGCAAGCAGGACTTTTTGGTGCCTTGTCTTCTGTAATAGGCATGTGCACATCCCGAATTACAGTCAAAGGAGGTTCGCTATTTAACCGCTTGGTCAGTGCTGCCTCTGCCTCCAAGACACTAGCTTTCCATGAAGGCATTAGACGCTTAGGAACCTGTAGAATAAACAAAACTCATTAACTTTCTATCAAAAGCATTAATGTCATTTGATCATAAACATTCATTTTTCAAAATATAACAGCAAAAAAGTTACAAGTTTGCAACACACAAAAGCTTTACCGTGTATTTGTAATCTTTGTCCTTCTGTCTTCCTCTCCGTCTAAGTACAGGCAGTTTTTCAAACTGATGACCTCCTTCAAAAGGAAAAATGGCTTTTGCCGGGACCCAAGCTTGGTCTATGATCTCCCCGAACATCCTGACAAAATAGAGACGGCATGGCCGACGACTGGGGTCTGCAAGAAAATGCCATTATTCTGTGATAATATGACAACAATGAGTTCTAAGAATGGTTTTAACTTATAAGACGTTTTGGTTTCCATGATAATATTAATAATGCTAAATATCTTGTTACGTGCTAAATTAGAACATGAGCATTTACTTTCTTGAACACAGCAAAAAGAAAATATCTACACTGTGTGTCGTCTGTCTTGCAACATACATGTGGAAGAACTTCTATTGCTTTTAGGACAAAGACGGTCTGCAGACACTCTAAATTCTAAGTAAAAGTTGAACAAGTGCATAAAAAAATCTAAATCGATAACCATATTATGTCAATAGAATGTCATCTCACCCACGTGAAATTAGGCATCCACTATGAATAGTCATACAAAAGGTGATCAAAACAAAAGATATCACCTTTCATTTTGGTGTGGACTTCAATCTGTGGGTCAGTGGTTACATGACAGGGCCACCAGGGTCTGCGGTTGAATTTGGCCCACACGACATCTTCTACAGAGTACTTTATACCTGGGAGCTGCTTCTTCTTTGGGCTGTTGGACTTTAGGTTAAAATAAAAAGTTGTCAGTTTAATCAACATTCGTTAAACATCATTAACATGAGTCAAGACAGCTTGAGTTGTTTGTTTAGGCTACTCTTTTAACATTTCAGATACTCTCACCTTGCAAAGAGCTGTTTGTGGGTGACAATCTAACTTAGGGCTGCACGAGTAAAAAAAAAAATCATAATTGTCAATTATTCCCTTGAAATTGTAATTATTAAATATTACTTACAATTATCACAATTCGCATTGAATGATGTTAATACCATTGTTTGAAGCAACTGCATGCCATATTTTTAGATGAAAATAAACAACCTGAAAACGCTCTAACCGAAAAAATTGTATTGCTTTTCTTTAGTATTAAGCCTCAAATGTCAACTATACATTGGATTGGTTTCTTCTTTAAATAATAAAAAAAGTAAAAATATGCATGTTGTTATAATGTTATTATAATTAAGCACGCAGAATAACATAAGTGGACTTTGAAAGATTAATTGCCACTTTGAATGATTACGCAATTGTGGCATCGTTAATTATCACGATTAGAAATTCGATGAATTGTGCAGCCCTAACCTAACTGCAACCCACGAGTGAATGAAATATTGATCTAGTCCATACTACTGCCTTTGTCCTTCCTGTGACAAAGATCGTGGTCAGATAAGTTTAAAAAAAATAAGTATGAACCAACAAGCACTTAGCATACACCTCTGCTCCACTGGAAAAATGAAGCTCCTACTCAACTGTGTGGTTCAAGAGGTGTACAGCTTGAGGGAGGGTGATACAAATGACTTCCGTCTATGACAACTTGTAATTTAAAAACAACTGGGCAATACCAACTGTAAATAAACATACGTCAGCCTACAAGTAGCAAATATGTTGTTGAAGTGGAAGTGTGTAATTTCTACACCATAAATGTCATCATACTGAATTGCAAAAATAATGAGTTTTCAAACAAGTAAGCCAAACTATAAATAAATAAATAAATACTGGTTAAGCTAATGTTGTTGTGGCAAAGCAATGTTTTGATAGTGCCAGTGTTTAGCCAGATCAACCTATGAATGAGTTGAGTTTCTGCATATTAAGATGAGAAAAAAGAAAGAATATACTTTTAATTGCTAAGGTACCATGCAATTACTATGTTGATATAAATAATGTGCTACTTATTACCCCTTATGCTATAAAATGCACGTTTATCAAATTAAACAAATAGTCTTTTATAGTGATAGACTAACATTTCATTTTGGAATTACCTGCATCAGCCAGATACTTTGGTCAACTGACAGAAGTGATTCTACTTGAAGTGAACAAAAAAAAAAAGTACCAAGATCTTTGTTACAATGCACATTTGATTTTCAGATATTTCTTAATTCTTGTGAGAAAAAAAAAAAAGCACACTTAAATAATACACACAGTGGGATCCAAAAATCTCAGACTGCTAGTGAAAATGCTTATATTTAGCATTTTTCTGATTACATTTCTGATTCCCAATACAAAACAACTTTATGTTGCTTTAATCAGAGAAGCACTTGAGCTGTTCCACATATTTGAGTAAATCCTGATCATTATGATATCCAGCATGATTTGAAAAGTCCCAAAGAGCACCTTGTGCTTCAATGGAAACAAACACATGACTTTACATGATCAATGTCACAAATTTGTTTACCAGATTAGTGACTTAGAAATTGTTCAGAATTTTAACAAAAGGTCATAACATTTTTTTTTTTTTTACTAAAATAGGTTATTTCAAGGTTTGAATTACAGATTGTCAGTGTGGTTTTGAACCTTTGGACCCCACTGTGTGTGTGCATGAATACACACATATACATACATATATATATACACACATATACATATATATATATATATATATATATATATATATATATGAAGTTTATATGTATTTGTATATGTGCATACACGTATACACTGTATATATATATAAAAAATTATGGATTTTCTTCCTGGACAATAGTGCATTCTTAGGTGGAAAATCTAACAATATAACTTGTACACCTGTTAGGAAAAAAAAAACAAAGACAACGAAACAAATCTGATGAACATAAAAACATCTTACAGGATTTGAATGGGAGTCACTGGGTGAATTTGGTCTTTTAGAGAGACCAGAGTTGAATATTGAAGCACTGTTCTCAGTGCTGGGAAGATCACAGTCACTGTCTGAATAATCATCCATACTGTCAAAATCCTCCATCATGACCTCGACAGGCAAATGTGATGGACTACCAGGAGGGTCAGACTTCACTGTATTTTTAGAAACAAGGTTACAACTTCCATGTTTGTTTTTACTTAGGTCCAGCCTGTGGCTGCTAGGAGCCTTTGTGTTTGCCAGATTTCGTTTCTGGCATTTATTTGACGTGTCTTTAAACGGTGCCACCACATCAACCCTATCATGCTCCTCCTCCTCATTATCCTTGCTGTCCCCACTATCAAACAGGGTCGACTCGAAATGCAAAATTCCATTTGGGATGGATGGAAAATGTTCCAAGCTATCAGAGCTTACTGGTGAGAAACCATTTTTGTCCAGATCCTGAATAGTAGTCCTGTCAGTGTTTCCTTGCGAATTGGACGTGTGATAAAGGCCTATTCCGAACTCACCTCCGCCAGTGGGATTGTGCATGAGCAATTTATTTCGCCTGTGAAAGTCCTTGTCCTGCAAACTCATGTCAGCATGGTTCACCATAGTGGTCAGGTCCTGAAGTCTCCTCAACGGACTGTAGTTGGAGGTGGATTCTCTCGGATTGTACGCGAACGGCGATGTGGAGAGTTTGTAGCCAGAGTTTAAGAAATTAATGGCAGACCCCTGGTCCCCCTGCCGCTTTGTGCTTTGGTATCCACAGGAGCTGATGCGGCTATCAAGTGCCTTGGTCTCCTGTGGATCGCCATGACACTCCAAGCCATCCCTGCCAGCCACTTTGTAGGACTGATTCATGTTGTCATGGCTCCGTCCTGCTACAAAACACAGGGAAATACTTTTAGAAGATGTTTTTATAAGATGGCCTATAGAATTATAACTCAGGCTTTTCTTAACTCCTAAGGGGTTTGTTGCAACTGGCCACAAAACACTAATGAGTTGTGTATTAAGCGGAACACTGCAATCTAATTCAAAACAATTAAGCAGCATACCACATTGATTACACATTAACATGACATTTTAACAGCAAAAACGTTGTAATGCTGCAAAACACCAACATGCACATGCAATATATTCCTGCTGAAAACACAGCTTAAACTGCCAGCTTGTTTTTAACTGGTGCAAGTTGGAAGACCATCTTTGACCAGCTAACCAGATGCCAGCTTTATGTGGTCATAATGTTGTTTGGAGCATGGAAGCTGGTCGACCAGCTTATAACCATCTCAAACCGGCTAGAAACCAGCTATCATGTTTCAAAACATAGCTAGCATCTTAAACTGGTTTTTGTAACAGAGTGGCTACTCGGGTTTAAAATCGCAACCCTCGTAGGCCGTCTTGTCAAGAATCCATCAAGACAAAGATAAAGCTTGAAAAACTCAACATATATTGCCATGTCAAAGACACTTCTATATGCTCCTACTGGACTGTTTAAATATGACCTCTGCCGCGATTTCAGTGTGAAAACGCTGGCAAAGTATGTTACATTATCATCATGTGCATCAACAGTTCCCATACAGTCCTACAGCAGTAAAGTCACCCACGACGGGGAAATGAAAAACGCACCAAATACAAAAGGTACATGAGAGAAATCGCCGGTTTCTTACCATTTACGACTCGGTCACGACAAAACCACCGGAAAGCCCTTCAAATTCGAGCATGTAGCGTTACTTTTTGTCAATTTGTGAAAGCTGATCTGCAAAATCCCAGCAGCATTTGTACCAGTAGGCCCATTTGCACTCATTTCTCTCTCCAACATCAAAAATGGAGATTAATAAATAAACGAGAATGAAACTGATCGACTGTCACTTTTCCCCGAAGCACCACGTCAATGCATCTTAAGCACGTTTTTCAGCGGCCACGAATTCTATTGAAATACATGATTTTTTGCCCACATTGTTTGTGTTAAAACAAGCCCTGACTGTGTGTGTGTGTGTGTGTGTGTGTGTGCGTGCTGGTGAGAGCGACCAATCGGCACAGCACACCCAACCCCCCAGTATACATCCACTTAACCCGATTCACTGTTTCCCAGGTACATCTCTCACTTACGCAAATCCATGTGGACAATGTGCAAGCAAACGCAAGTTTAACTTTGTCCCAAACGCGTCGTGCATACAGTACAGTTGACGCGGTGCGTGTTGGGCGCATGGAAGACACAACAGTGAGCATTTGCTTTTTAACCCTCACGCCATTTGTTTCCTTGTCCTAACAAAGGCGTAACTTCCTCCATTTTAGAGAGACCGCTCGTGCTTTGCAAGGTAGCCGACCACAGTAAATCGTATGAGCAGAAAACACAATTTATTGGTCTCGTTTAACACGCACGTACTCCGATATGCTTGATTTTCTAAGTTTTCTTTGCGCGTTTTGCGGGTGGTTGGAAATTAGGCCATGCCACGCATAAGTGTTAATATGTCAGACGATTATGGCAAGCGGGTTTAACATGTATACCTTAGTACAGGGCTGGGCAACTTCAGTCCTGGAGAGCCACTGGCTGCGTCCGAAATGGCATACTTCCCTACTACATAGTAGGCAAAAAGCAGTAGGCAAGCAAATAAGTATGTTAATCCTCTGTATTCATAAAAGAGTAGGCGAGAATTGCACTAATTCTCGCGAGACACTGACGTACGTATAATTAATTTGCGTTCTAATTTGCCTACTTAACTACTATATAGTAGGGAAAAAGAGTATGTGAACAGATGTCTGAAACCACATTATAAAAGAGTAGGCGGGACATTCCACCGAATGGGTAACATTTCTGTCCCCAGGACATTAAAAGTATAAAAATGCATGAAAATGAACTCTAAAATAAATTTTATTATTAAGCAAAGTGTCTTCACATTTAGCTAACTGCAAAATTTAGAATTAAAATCATTAATAAAAACTACCTAGAACACTAAAGAAATAGTAGTTGTTGCATGTCCCCACTCCCTGCCTCTATAATTTACCATGAAATATTATGATTAAAATCCT